TGTTGTTGCTATTGTTGCTCTTGGTGTTGTGATTGGTGTTGTTGTGGTTGCTGTCGTTGTTGCTGCTGGTGTTGTTGTTGTTGCTGTTGGTGGTGCTGGTGCTGGTGCTGATGTTGTGGCGGTTGTGGTTGTTGTTGTTGGTGCTGCTGTTATGCTTGCTTTTCTTCTTGTTGTCGTCGTCGCTGTTGTTGTTGCTGCTGTTGTTTTTGTTGTTGTTGCTGCCACTCTTATGACAATTGCTATTGCTGTTGTGATTGATGCCGCTGTTGATGATATTGTGGCTGTAGTTGGTGGTGGTGGTGGTCGTGTCATTGTTATCGCAATTGTTACTGTTAGTGTTATTGTTGTTGCTGTCGCTGCTGTTGCTGTTGCTGCTGCTGTTGATAATGTTAATGCTGGTGTTGTCGTTCTCGTGTTGGACGTTGCTGTTGCTGCTGATGCTGTTGATGTTGCTGTTGTTCTTGTTGGGTGGTGGTGCCGTTGCTGCTGGTGCTGTCGTTGATGCGTATTTTTTGGTTGTTGCTCTTGGGTGGTGGTGTTACTGCTGCTGTTGATGTTACTGGTATTGCCGGTGATGTCGTCGTTGCTGTTGTTGTTGTTGGCTGGTTGTCCTTGTTGTGGTGGTTGGTTTCCATGCTCGTGCTTGTTTGGCGTGTGTGCCATTGCCTTCAGAACTAGGACCGGGAGACCCAAATCGTAGCAACGTGTTCTCTCCCGACACCATGTGCATCTTGCTCACGGATTCTTCGGGCGACCAGCCGAACAAGCAGGTTGTTGCTCAGATGTTGAGCTCGCTTCACGTGGGATGTCCCCTGCCTTTCCGTCCTGCATCAGCAGCTTGGCTTCGATCTCGGCGACCTCTGCCGTGGCTTTCGTGACCTGCGCGTGCGTGAGGCGCTTCTCGTGGCAGGATCGGCATTCAGGATGCTGTCTTCAACATGCAAAGCGGACGTGCTGAACGCTTCTGCCAACATCAACCGTCTACACATCGTCATCCTGGCCAAAGCATGAACATTGGTACTGATACTCCGACACCAAAAGCTTGAGACTTGCTCAAGCCCAATCCCGGCAGCTACGTGTACCCAGAACAGAACGAGACTAATTGAATCCAGTGCCAGGGACGCTGCAATACTACAGGCTGTGCATGAGGGCTATCTGTCCAGTTGGAACCGCACAATAAGTTGGGCAAAGTCTTGCAGCATCGTTGGTGTAGCAACGTCTGTGTGGAATTGGCCGCCTCTGCAACACGCAAAAACCCTGTAATAGCTAAAGCTATCTCGGCCTTTGATGTGTCGAATAGAAGTTCGACGAATTGGTTATACGCCTTGCAAGCCCCGTCGTACACTCGACAACATCTGGGCATTGACCCAATAACAATAACCTTGAGGGCCGCACAGTGAATCTTAATTTCGACCCCCGAGAAAGGTCAAAACTTTAGAACTTGCCATTCCGCTGCGTGTTTCCGCACGAGGGGTCTCTCTCCCAACACCCCAAAGTTCAATACCTTAACGTATTTCCAGCGAGAACCACATGTCCAAACTCAAAGCTTTGCGCGCGCGAGCATCTTTGCTCTTTCACATGCTGGGCCTGAAATTCATGGACGGACTGAGGCCCAGTGGTAGCTGTGGCAGGTCATCTGAGAGAAAACTCGCCAATTCGCGCCTTGCCCCAAAACGGAACAGGAGAGCTTAATTTGAAGCCTGGCCTGGCATAGTCTTTCCATAGACGACCAACCTAGCTTACACTGTCCCGGGACTCTCATTGCAGAGTCAGTCGCTTCAAAGCCGAATTCACCAGCCCCTATTCCTTCGGGAGCCGTTCTATCAAAAGGCCGTACTACTTGAGTTCCAGTTCAAAGGTCTGCTTGGCAAAGACCCCCAATAAACAATGGAGTCTGGCAGTGGCCCTGTACAGTACAGTCTGGAGCTCGTGTTATGACGTTGCAGCGCTTGCAACTGTGAGCTTTGAGGGCATGCAGCATGTCTGCCAGTCTGTGCAAAGCTCCGGGTGCGTGTGCCAGGTACCGGTCATTTACTGACAGTTTAGCGATTCGTTCTTCAAAGAATGCCAGATCGGCGATACAAGACATGCACGACTCTCTGTGTGAAGAAGAAGGGGCTGGTTGGTGAGGATATAAAACGACATGCGGCCTTCTTGGAAGGTGAAGGGCCGACGAGCTCGTCGTCTGAGCAAAGGACATGTTACAAACCGTGTCCGTTCGGCTACAGCTCGTAGACCTTGAACAAAACCCTAAAGGCGCGCGGCCAACATCAGGCCGCGTGCCAAAAAGTAAGATCTGCTCAGCTGGCTCGTGTCGGCACATCAAATCGCGCGGTGGTCTAAGCAAGGTACCGGTGCTGGCTCTGAGAAGGAAAAAATCCTGGCAGGTCGTTCTAAGGGGTTTTGGGCTTTAGGGTGCCAAGGTGCTAGGTTATGGACGTGCAGACAAATGGGGTTTACGGTTTTGGGTAATTCAGATTTCAAGCATGCTATATCATAGAGCTTCATGAGGTCAGTACTGCCGGGTTGCAAGTCCTATGGTATCTATTCCGGTACATGTGGCTTCCAGGCGTTTTGCCCGCAAACGAGGGAGAAGGGAAAAACATACAGGAGGGAGAGAGAGAGAGAGAGAGAGAGAGAGAGAGAGAGCGAGAGAGAGCGAGCGAGAGAGAGAGAGAGAGGGACTGAGGCTACGAAGTGTTGTGAGGGCTTTGAAAATCATCACGGATGGAATGGGCTAGCTATGCGTATCGCGTATCCCATGAACCATTCAGCTGAATGGATGTGAGTCGAGAGCCTGAGGATCCATGGCGGATTCAGCATCCTTCAGGCTAATGCTTCTATCCAGGGCAACACTCCGTCCATTTCAGGTATCTTGGCCTGAGATTTGGCGTTTCTGAGTCTAGTGGTTCCATCATACCAGACATCTCCTCACAGAACTGCCATCTTCAGGCCATCATTCAGGGACTGGCCGAAATCCGGCACAGCCAATGTAGAATGAGGGAGGGCTTCGGGTGCGGGCCTCAGAGGTGGAATGGTTGTTCTACAAGACCTCCCAGGGGTATAAGTCCGGCGCAGGCGGTTGGAGACCCTGCCCCGAACACGCCAGTCCAGTGAATGCCCTGTCCCGGCAGCAAGCGAAGTCGGCTAAACCGGACTCCAGCAGCTGATCCCATAAACCCATGATCCCCAACTAAATCCCGTACTTGAAACTCACGACGTTGTTCGGGGGTGGGTTCACAAGTCTGGGTTTCCTTCGCACGCCTGTTCAGCATCCAGGGAGTCTGGGTTGCAGGCTTCGCAAACATGATTCAAGGGTGTGGGACTTCGAATCTGAGGTTCAGCAAAACAACATCTTATCAACACAGTTGTATGATGAAGCGACGTGAGAGCCACAATTGACACTTACCCTCTCCGCATTGAACTTGCCAGGGACTTGGTAAGCAAGACAGTCCAGCCCACTGACTGAGAAGGCAGGAGACAGAGCCACTCAAGCAACCCCAAGACGGCGAAACTTCTTTGTAATCGTTCTTGGCTTCTTGGAGCCTTAGGATTACATGTGATACAGATCTGCAGATACTATAACATTAACCGCCTGCAGGGTTGCTGAGTTTGTGGGCACTGCGGCGTAAAGTTAGCCACGTTTCCCCAATGAGAAACGCAGTGCAGCGAGGATGCGCTGGCTGGGCTGTGATCCAGTCTGACCAAGGAGGTTTTCTTAATCTTATAAGGGTTCAATGTTATGAGTTCTGGGCTCAATGCAGATACGGATATGGGTTCATGGGAGGTTATGTCGGGTTTTGCTTGCCCGGACTAACTGAATCCACAGGAAGTCATGCGCGCTGCTCGGTGTAGCTGGGGATGGCACTCGACTCGTGTTACCTGGGGCAGCCGAGCCACAACCGCAGCTTTCGGCAGAATCCCCGACTCGAGAATCCCCGCAGTTACCTTGAAACTGCTGCTTGAATGGTGCTTTCTCTAGGCGCAAAGTGCCCCAGCCCAAAATTGGGCTGAAACTACAAATCCTCAACCCTCAACTCAGGTTCCTGTTTGGTGAAGACTGAACCAGCAGAACGCCAGCTGTCGCGAGCATCGTAGTACGAACTGATGCAAGTGGGGAAGTCTCTCGAAGCAGACAAAAAAATCGAACAACTCTCAAACCCTGAACCCTCCCGCCCTGCTGCGTCCGTTTATCAAGGATTAACCCCGTGGGCCCCCTTGTTTTGTAATTAGTTCATACAATGATGCAACCAGCATGCATTTACGGCAACTGAATACACCCACACCGGGGCACTCGGGTCGAACCCACGAGCAAATTCGAAAGGACCGTTACATGTCGAGGACAATGGGACGTATTTGTCGAAGACAGCAAGACCCAGAGAAGTGCGACACTAGAAACTACAAGCCCAAACAAAAGTCTGAAGCCCTTGGTGAAGCGGCTAAAAGCAATCTGGAGTACGAGTATGTAGTTCTCAATCAGGTGGTGCCTATTGACTATGTGGCTGTGTCCCTGGCCTCCTGCGTGATCCCTGGACTCATGCCTGGACATCACGCGAGAGGACAAAACTGGCGAACCGACCTCAGCTGTAGCGCTGGAGGGATTCTGTGGCAAGCTTCTTGATCTGGGTTGGCTGAGGGCTTCGAGGTGCAGTCTCCGACAAGGAACCAGAAGTCTGTAGGGGTTCTACAGCTAACCTTGAGCTTCCTCTGAACTGTGTTGATTGGCAGCTTAGGTAAGTAGAGAGCAGTGTCACTCCTGCATATCCTCATGAGGGGCACCACGAGCAATCTGAACAGGGAAAAGGGGAAACGCCTGTGGACATCGACGAGCTGTCGCAGAAAGTTTCTTGTGTTAGCTAGCATCGTGCCCGGATTTCAAGAATGGATTGTGGTTTGCATGGCCAACTTTGCGTAGAGGCTGGTTACACAGACGCGTATGCCTAGCAGCTTTTAGAGCTGTAGGCTGAGGACCTCAAGCTTGCAACCAGGAGGCACGCTTCTCAGAAGTGCTCCTGCGCTGTTGCGTTGGCATAACGGGGCGCACTCGCAGGCTCTTACATGCAACGTCAAACGCTTCCTTGCTTCTTGGGCCCTGATCGTAGATTTCTCGGGCACAGGTTTGTTGGACCTTCCTGCTGCGGATATTCCGCTGCAAGGGATCGCAGAAGGCAGCAACCTCTGGCCTAGTGAAGATCTCGCTGTACAAAAGTCCATCTGCTGTTGCCCCTAGCCTGCCCAAACCTTCTAATAGCCTGACACCAGAAGCATGGCCTAAACCCTTTCTGGACTGACGGGACAGTGGTCGGTTAGACCCCGACCGGGCCAGGGTTGCAGACCCGGCGTTGTTGGAGCTTTCGTAGGGTCTGCAGTTCAGGGTTAGGGGAAAGCTTTTGCCCCAGCATGGATGACACGGGTTCCGACTCATGGTTCGAGTGCTCTGTCGTGAGAATCAAATCGAAACTGCAGAACATGCAATCTTCAAGCGAGTTCATTGCATTTGAAGTTCCCGGCTGCGCCTTGAAGAATGAGAAGCGCGTGGCACCTGTCAATAGTCAAAGCTGTCCAGTTTAGGCTGGTTGGGCTGTGTAGGGCCGGAGGGTCCACAAACGTCGTTTGTGCCTGCCAGACCGAGCAGCACTAAACACAGCTCCGGTGTGGAGGACCCGGCTCGAGGCTGTAAAGTCTTCTTAATCTCCAAGTCCAAGCGCTTGCTTGAGACCGTGGAAATTGAAACATCGAGAGCGAGAGAGAGAAAGAGAGTGAGAGAGAGAGAGAGAGAGAGATACACAGGGAGAGGGGATGTTGATGCTTCACAATCTTTCACGCGAGGACTCTGATTTGGGCCTTGCAGAGTGTTCACAAGCGGACTAAGCTTTCTCCAACACGACTAAATTAATCGTCTGTCCGACAAATCACAACAAAGTTTTGTGACAACGGCGATGAAGATAGATCTGTCTGCCACTCAGCTCAACTTCCGGAATAATTGCGAGTCTACAGTCTACCTGCGACACAGGTAGCTTCCGCGTTACGTGCTTCGGAACTTCGGATAAACACCACATAGGGGACCTTCGTCGGAGTAGAACGTACAAGGCCGCACATTCGTCAGGGATTTACTATGCTGTGTGATTTCGGCTGTAGAGATGGGCATGCTGGAAGAGCAACAGAGCGGGGAGACGCTCCTCAAGGTCAACAGAAGTGTGTGGACAATTGCCAGCCTGCCGTTCAGAAATCAAACTATCGAGTCTTTGTCTGCAAGTGTCACGACCGCGCCAAGAACCACATGCAACTCTGTGACTATATATGTTCCGCTGTGACTGGTGCTCACATATGTCTGCATGTGTGTGTGTGCGGCTCGTCGGGGAGAGGAGGCGTACCATGCGGGGAGAGACCTGCCTGGGCGGATGTCCTGTTACGTCGAATGGGAGGGGCGGCTTGGGGCACATCATCATCACGATGATTTCTCTTCTGATACACCTCATATATGGAATGTGCCTATGCAGTGTCGTGTTTCATGTTGCATGGATCGAGTCTGCTTGGCGACATCCGGCCTGGCGTCCCGATGACGTCCGAATTCTTAACGCTCTGCCGACCGAGCTCTTCGCCGATGATGGGCGAGCCGCACCTGCTGGAGTGTACGGCTTGGGTTTGTCGGAGATCCGTTCTGCATATGTAAAAAGGCCGCTGAGGCCTAGGGTTGACAGTGTCGGGACCACACAGACCTGTACGACATGTAGGAGCGGAGTCCGAAGCGGTAGTTGAGTGGTCCTATACGAGGACCTAAATGTACGTTTGTGTCTGCTGTTTCGATGTCTGTTTCGAGCATGGAGATGTGGCGTCGTAGTCTCTGGGGCTGTAGGAGGGAGCAGAAGTCAGATTTCTGCACGGACAAACGAGCTCATGCAAAGTTAGCCTGTGAGCGGAAAGTTGCGGCTTGTTGGCCTATAAACTTCGGAGGAATCCGCGCATCTGAACCGGCAGTATAAGTCCCCTACTAGGGCTAGTAGCGTCTACGTCCACTAGTCTGACTGATGCTTCGGATCGACGCCTCAGCGCATCGCCCGTTCACCTACGACGTTTAGCACATTGGAGTTACCGATGCTCTCAGGTCCGGGCAGGAAGACTCCAATGTGTTCCCCCTGATGCTTCTCACGGTTCCTGAGATGCAGGCTTTAAGCGGCTTACTGCTGACTGCGTCTATTCGCTCTCCTTTTCAGTCGAGCTCTCAGGTCTCAGGCCCAGGGATCAAAGAATCCCGAAACAAGTACGATTCCACGATGTTGTGCTGCGGGGTATAGCTGAGATCGAACAAAGTTTGAAGAGCCCAATAGATTGCACGAGTCAGCTGGCTCTAGGCCGAGACTGTTGCAAGCACCCGGGCCCGACTCACCGACACCAATCGTCTGAGACAAAGTATACTTTCGGATTTGCGAGCTGGGATCGTGATAACTGTGATTAAGATACTGTTGATGAACATGTTGTTGTTGTTGTTGCTAGCTGATGAAGATGTGGATGATGGCATATGTAATCATGATGATGATGATGTGGATGAAGGCACCTGTGATCGGACATGATGACGATGATGATGATGATGAGGATGAGTAGTGATGATGACGGTGATGATGCAGACAATGATGATGGTAGTGGCGATGGTGACGGTGACAATGTTGATGGTGTTGATTGTCACGGTGATGTTAGTCATGGTGATGGCGATGATGATGACGATGATGATGATGATGGAGAGGATGATAATGGTGATGATGATGTCGACAACGACGACAATGATGCCGATGGTGATGATGCAGACCATGACTCTGAAAGTGCTAAGGAAGGAGGCGGCGACTCTTGGCGTGGCGTTGACGATGACTGTCGATAATGGAATCGGGTTGTCGAGGGTGGCCATGGAGCGGATAGTGACAGCATCTCGGTCAGATACTCAATACTTTGCGGGCTAAGCCGTGGGGTTTAAATGGGGCGGTTGTGCAGTTTGTCGCCTGATGATGTGGGCTGCGGCAGGTCCACCGCCCTGAGTATTCGTGCTGAAAACCTGCAAAAGATGCGAAGGTGTCCACAAGCGCTTGACCATCCCAACACCTGAACGCAGCACGATACGCGTTAAGTAACGTCATCAGAGTCTTCACCATCTTCACAAATTCTGACTTTGACAGAATCAGACCAAATGGCTACAGAATTCCGCAAAGCCTTTCGGGCCAAAGCGCTGCTTGAAGATCCGGCCCCAATTGGGTCGGCCGAAGAACTGACCCGAGGCGCAGGGAAGCTTCTTCACCTCCGGGGAAGAAATGAGGGGTTTAGGGACGTCAGATGTTGACATGGCACAGAGGCCTTGGCGACTGCGGATCGCTTCAGATCATCCCAATAGCCCGTAACCGGCACAGAATATTGAGATGTCAGACATGAGGCTGCTGGAATGGAGGGCTTCCTGCGAGGATCCACGGTATTCTTCCGCGCATCCCTTTCAAGATCCTACGAGATGCCGGCTGGGTTCAGGAGCAGTGTAGCGTCGCGACTTCAGAGGTTCAGTCGGGTTCAGGTTTGTGATTACTTGGGGGCCGCTTCGGCCTGATGAGCTGGGAAACACATCATCAGCTCAACTTCAGTTTGTTCAACTCACTTTCATCGACTGGTTGGCTCCATCAAGCCCTTAGATGCTGGTCATTGCGTTCGCCAGGTATTTGTCTTGCCTGGGGCATCGCATGTAGCACCAAACCTATGAAGGAACACCACCAATCCGTCAAGTCATCCTTGCGACGTTTTTTCTGTCGGCAGCTTCACCACACGACATCGTAGGAGCGAACAAGCACCAAGGGAGTTGCCACCTTTGGGCTCCCTGCATTCCCGGGCCCAGGCTGTTCAGGCTCCCTTGGCCCTTCGCCTTCTCAATCGAGCACGTCAGAATTGAAAAAGCAGGCTTTTTTCCTGCTGATCATGCAGCGTAATCGGCCTGTTTAGCAGCGATCCTTGGAGAGGAGAAGGTGCCCAATTGCATGAGTGCCATATTATGGCAAGACGAAGATGAGCGAGGGGAACGAATGGAAACAACCACTATAATGCATGTGTAACGATGATGATGAGCACGCGGAGGAGGTGGGTTCTGAGTGTTTCACGACATGATATTGTCACAGCGGTGCTGGTGAAGGTAGCAGTGAGGGTCGTGATGATGCCAGTTGTGTGAAGTCGTTCTGGGCTGCTGCTCATGATGATGTTGGTGATGATGATGATGATGATGGAAGGGAGGATAGTTATCAAGAGCAGGATGAGGATGGGGATACTCCTGGGATGATGGTCATCTGATTCATCATGATGGTGTTGATGATGCTGGTGGATGAGGAGGCAGATGAGGAGACATAATGAATAAAGACAACATGCTCATGACTCGGCAATGATAAACCGATGATAGTCAGGTGGTGATCATCACAATGATGCTCTTGGAACTGATGATGATGATGATGATGATGATGAGGACCAGATGGACGAGAATTATATGAAGGCGGTTAGGGTGATATTGAGGATGGTGCCGACAGCTGATCATGGTAACGATGAACATGGTGGTGATGATGATGATGATGCCGGCAGCGATAGCAGCTTCTCGCAGCCACCCCCTTGAATATGCAGGCGGGAGCAGCTAGGCCAGCTACTGATTTCAGACGCTACTCGCGAAGTGGATGTTGCAGAGACCTCCTGGGCTCTCAGATGAGGTCCGCATGTGCTGCCAGTGCAAACTCATCGATGCGTTTCGCAGGATTCGAGGTGCCAGCTGCTGCAAGGTGGCCGAAGGTCAACCTGCAACGGAAGTGACTTTTCGTGACGGATTTGTTTGTCAGACCCTGCGACTTTACACTGGTTCCGTGCTGTAATCACGATTATCTAGTTCAAACATGGCTCGGCGCAGGAAAACCGATCGTACACGCCACAAGACGATGTAAACATTCAGCAATGGACACTGCATCCAGGACACGAAGCTGATCTTGCCCGGGGTTGCAGACCCCGGGTCCGTCCAGATCAAGAGCTATGACGTCCTGCACTTCCTGCAGAAAGAGGTCTCGAACGTCTCAAGCGCTGCACCCGCAGGCTTCTGACCGTGCTTGCAAATCGACGAAGTCTATCCGTTGCTCACAGCACGGGACCTCCAAAGCCTCACAGCTGACCAACGGAAGTCCGAGGGGTGCAGTTTTCAGAACACACCAAGCATTGTCGCGGCATAGGCTCCAGAGACAGAAAGACGCAACTCGAGGACCAGACCAGAACCACTCCCAATACGTCTCAAAAGACCAATCCAAACTACCACAAAACGAATGTGTTAGTGTGGCGACAGCACGCAAGCATACCCGATAATACCTGATTAAAGAGCACACGACTTTCGAAAGTGGTTAGCCTTCCAAAGAAAATGCACGAAGCCCACCAATCGCCATCATCATTGTGGCGCAACCGCAATTTTGGCAACTCAAAATCCCGGCGAACAGCGCAAAATGCGAGACCATGCCGAAAAGTCAGACCAGCCGAACACTTTGCGGTTTGACGACCCTGCAGAGGCCACTGCTCCGCCCAAAGTGCTGAGCATCGCTGTCGTGAGAACGTGCTCTGCTGCCATCACAGAGTGCGGGTGAGAGCACGAGTTGCGAAGTGAGGGAAGCCCAGCTCGGCATAGCAACATTTCACAGCAGAATGAAATGAAAACGTCGTCCCCTGCTGCGAAAGATCGGTCCAGAAGCGAAACGAGCGCCACAACACAGCGAGGGAGGCGCAGAACCGACGGCACACGCCACATGTCCAGAAAGCAGGCCCGTTTTGTATCCAACGTAGGAACTTCAGTGTCTATCTAGTTGTTCTATTCTATCGTTGCATGTATACACACATACACATATTATGTGGTTTCGGTCATTTCGGCACCTAGTATACGCACAACACACATAGCATCGCGTAGCATCATGTAGCATCCGGCTGTCACATATGTTTACTTGTTTTAAATATAGATCCGGCTGTCTGTCGATGTCTGCCTGTCTGTCTTTCTGCCTGCCTGCCTCTCTCTCTCTCTCTCTCTCTCTCTCTCTCTCTCTCTCTCTCTGTCCGTTCGTCATGCATGCGTTTATGCACGCATGTAGCTCGATCTGCGTACATCTGACTAACTTGCAAGTAGTGCGTTATAAGCTACGTCAGCTCTGTATAGGCGTAGGGCGTAGAGGTATGTACCCGCACTGTGCTTGTCGTCGTGGCTACCGCTCTTGTTATGCTGCTGTCGCACTGCTGCTGCTGCGGATGAGGACGATGATGCGCTACAGGTGAATGGGTGGGAATCTGGCTTCCAAGACAGTGACGGTGGCGAGAACCTCGATTATTCTACATTGTCACCGTGGAGGGTGGCCCGGGGTTGCCGTCGGCTTTGCGGTTTTTCGGCTTCGACGGAAGTATGAATTGCAAAGCCACCCCTTCGTGACACTGTGTATGGCACAAACTATATTACTACGGCTCAAGTTCCAAAATCCCTCGCAGCCACTCTGAACCTGCCTTGAACACCCCAATCCATCAACTGCGAGCATGTGGAGGTCCTCCACCACGTCCAGGCAGTCTTCTCATCCGGATGTGGAGCTGTCACGACAAGGCTCGCGCGAAAGCCGCGTAGCCAGAGACCTGCACCGTTTGCAGTTTCCAATTCTGTGGCATGGGGTGTCCAAGCATGGGTCTCGAGAAGGAAGTGGCTTCAGCATATGTGGTGTAGCTGCCGTCATCATGACAAGAGTTAGAAAGTAAGTAATTACTGGCCTCATGCTTGAATCAGACTCTGCTCCGCCACTAGCTTCGATGTCCGGAGCCTGTCGCAGCTCGCTGGCCAGCTGCTCACCCAGCACTTTCCTCCCGGGCGTGGAGGCTTGTTTCATTAAGAAGAAGCCTTGGGCTTTCAGCCTGAGGTTCTGCCCTGCAGTCGCCGCAACACGGCCGTTCGAGATAGCTTAATCATCCTGGGAAGGCTACATCCCGTGTGGACCCTTGTGTAACAACCGTGACACAATGCTAACTTGCTCAGTATAATTCCCTCTACGGTAAAAACGAATCAGAAACGGACGTGTGGATGGCTGAATGCAAGTTGCGTGGAGTGTAAAGACGATAGCACTGCCCGAGCGCCAAGAAGGTCCATTGCAAAGGTGTGGCTCTGCGTCCTAGCTTTGGGTGTCGGGGTGGATTCCCCCAATGGCGGAATGCCAGACCACAAACAAACATCTAAGGCCTCAAATACCCCAAGGCGCTCCAGCCGCAAAGATCTAAAGTTACGGATCCCAACTTAGAGATTAAACTCTGAGACTTCCCGAAGCCAAGGTCCAGATAAGAAGTCCGGTTTCGGTTCAGGGTTTCAGGGTGAACTCCGCCACCTCTCCCGCAAGAACCCGGCCTGCACTTCGGAGACAGGTCTTGGCCAAAGGATGCAAAGGGTTGCTGATCGGCCTGACATTGAAGCTCAGGGATTCGGTATTCTACGATCTCTACAATTCCCGAATGACCGGCAGCTAAAGCCGTACTACGAGCACAGAGCAAAGCAACGAGGCAGCCTCAATGTGTGGCAGCAGCGCTGCCAGAGGGTTGCTGGATTTCTGACTCCGCACGACGGCAGCATACCACTCAGAGTACCTCGGGAGGTACGAGCAGGCTAAAACTCGCTCATCGGCCTTGATTGTGTTGCAGGGTCTGAAGGGTCGGTCGTTGAGACACTGGCGTATCTGACAGTGAGCTTCGAATTCGATGGAGAGTCCAAGGTCAGCGAGCCAATCTAGGAGCCGAGGGCCTGGGGTTCGCGGATGCACTGATGCAATTCGTTCCAGTACACTAGCATCCACAAGCCCGTCTGCAAAACTGCAAACACACGAACAGTGCAAAACACTCCAAGAAAGCTTCAGCACCGCCCGACTCCGCCCTGGCTCCCCAATGCCCCCCTCGTAAAGCGGAACACATGCCCAAAAACCTTGCGGCAAGCGCAGTGGATGTTAGCCCCCGCCCCCGAACAGCCGTGGCTACAGTGTATCGGACCTGGCTCAAACGACAGAGCACAACTTCGGCCACTGCCGACTTCTCGGCTTTAGCTTGACCCAGTCATGCCGACTCCAAGCATTTCGCTCGGGAAACGGAACTTCACTGTGCCGCACCACCGCCACCCAGAGGCACATCATTGTGGTCATCGTGGCATTACTACCCACCACTATTGCTTATCAGCATCATCTATTTTGCTCATGATATGGTCGTGGTTTCATCGTCTAAGATCATCATGACAACTGTGGTTTGGGAGCGGGGGCTGGGGCGGAGCGGGCACGAGCCTAATCTTGAGCATCGTGGCAAGCTTGCTTCGAGGTGCGGAAGCATCCTGCAGGTGACTGCAAGGTGGTCGAGCAGGGTGGCAAGCCTGTAGTTGCCGGTCATGCCTGAGATTGCAGGCATCTCATACTGCATATTGTACTAGTAGTGTGAGGAGCATCAGCAATCGATAGTGCATTCCCCACCTACACCGTACTTCAGATACTGCACGAACCTTGCTTTCCGGTATTGTGAAATTCTGGAATCTCACGCGCTTCTTCAAACAGGCTACTCACTCGCCAGTCAAATCACATGCTGAAACTGGGCTGCCCCGAAGCCTCAAATCCAGCCTAACATGTCCGTCCGCCGGAAACCGATCTTCGGATCTTGGTTCCTATGCCGTGGGGACCCCAAGCAACCCGACCCGTATCCAGATAGGGCACCCAGCCTACACTGATTGGTTCCGAAGGTGCTGTACGTCTCCGGAGCTCCATGCTCCAAGATCTTTAGCGCCGCGTGGCAGAACTTATCCACCTTAGGTTTTAGTGAACGAAAGCTTGGAGTTTATTCAGTATTTAGGCTTCGAAGATTCGGGTTCAGTGAAAAGGTTCGACGGTTTGGGCTCAAGCTTTACAGTTGCGGTGTGCGCTTACAAAAAAGAAAGCTTGGCTGCTTGGCCATCAGCGACGTTCATACCGTCCATCCAGTCGCCGTGCTCCTGGAACGACTTGATTCAGCGTTTAGGAATTCCGGATTTGCCTCGGCCCTTAGACTGGAGAGAAGCTGGCTGACATAGGATGAATTGCACAGATCACCTACTGTCTCAGCGCGAGAGTGCGGAGGAAGCAGACAGGCCGCAACAAAGCAGTTTGGAGTCTAGAAAACCTGCAGGCCAGCTCGCCGGACTAGCTAACGTCTTCAACCCAGGCTAAAGCACCGCAGAACGGGACAACCCCCCTCAGCGGAAAACCAGTTGTTTCGGGTGCAAGAAAAATCAGCGCCAGATCTGAACTGCAGAATCCCAAAGTCCTGTATACAAGCGACATGCAAAACCACATACATAGGCTGCAGACATGGCATATAGTACTCAACGTAGCTGGTGGGGTAAGAGACTTCACTTGGCGACTATTAATTGTTTTCGATGCCCCACTCAGACCTGCACAGCACACAAACAAAACAAATATGAAGCGAGACCACAGGATATGAAAGCCTTGCAGCGCCCAACTCCAACTTAGTCAAACCCTTGAGGAATTCTACCTATAGCTGCTCCGGAGCAGACTGCAGCTTGCAGACTACCAGTAGGATCTTCAATGTAAACAACTTGGAGCATAAACTCTGGGACAAAGTGCCTCCAGGGTCCAGCACAGGCTTTCGGACTTCATCCACCGCACCAGACGTGTAGGGCCGTCATCTGCGCTGTGGCTGCCAGTCTCTGAGTGCCACCTAAATTTCAGGGAATGCTGCAGATTTCGACCTAGGCTCAGGGCCTAAGCGCCCCCATTTTGCTTTCTTCTGACTGAGCTTTGCTTTTGGTTCCATCACTAGCGATGCTGAAGCTTCTGGAGCAATGTCTGTCTATCAATCAAGGTCGGAGCACAAACAAAAAAACCCTCTATTCTGTTTCGGCCGCTCATCCTTCGAGAGTCCAGGATTAGAGCGCACGAAGTTTACGCATTCAGGATTGTATGGTCAAGGGCGTAGAGATGCAAGGTAGTGTGCTTAGAGTGCAGACTAAATTAGTGCTTAGGCTGTCATCTGCGAACATCCCTTTGGGTCTCCGGGCCAAAAGTTAGAGGCATTGGTGATCCAGAGTCATTACCTCGGCCTTGAAACTTCTCTCATTCGATCACATTCAAATTTATGTGGGTTCAAACAAACGTGATGTAGGCCAATTTTGCCATGATGTCGATGTCATTACAGACAGAACGATCAAACAGAAACTATGGATTGGTGAATGTCTGGATATGCAGCCTGGTGATTCGGTAGCCAGACTCCTGGACATGAAGACCAAAGGCTGACAAGAAGGCATTGAAGTGTACAGAATTCAACTCAACTTAACATACAACCAGATCTGGCTACGAGCTCCTAACTCTAGACCCTGGGGTATGGATCATCACGAGCGTGTTTAGATTGTCCTCCCGTGAAAGTGTTTGGACTCTGCAGCACGCACCGTCTAAAGATACCGTAGATACCTGTCACAAGTGATTGACCTTGGCTGACTTGGCATCACTCCCTATGCATACTCAGCAAAGATTAAGAGCCAGGCTTTTGGCAGCTTGCTGCATTGGCTTGTTTGGCTTCCAAGGGTCACCAAATTGACATTGATTGCAACTACCTTGCCGGCAATCTTGGTTACATCTGGATGCCGTTCTCCTTGCTGCCTCGTCGTAGCTTCATGTGCACCAAGCGAGATGCTCATATCTTTCACCAGGTAAGGCAGGGGAGATCCTGGTCTCGGTTCTTCGTAAGACCTGGGCTTCGCTTGCAGCCAAGCAACACCACCAGCCCCGGGCGCACCACCACCTTCTCTGCAATCAGTGTGATGTTTCCCGCTCTATCGCGGTTGGAACTCAAGACTGAGGGTGATCGGCGAGCTTCTCAAGCTACGACTTCACAACATAAGGCTCATGCAGGCTTTGGGACGGGGGTGGATGAATTGAGCAAGGCTGCTGCCCATGGACACAGCCTGACCAAGATCATCTCTGCAGCGAGCTTTGAGACGATGTAGGGATTTGTGCATTCCTGGCGAAGGCCAAAACCCCAACCACAAATCACGATTCTAAAGCTCCTCAAACCTTGCTAAAGCCCTGCGTGCGTACAAAGATGCGTGTATGCCACATAGTCACGCAGACATACGTCTCTTTCAGCCGGTCTTCCCTCTATATGTATGTGCATATGCATACTCTGAGTATGCATATGCATGTGAATATATGTATTCATGTACTTGAACACAACTTTTATGCTACTATTCCATGCGGAATTACAGAAACCCAATGTGGACAGTTATCTGTGAACACATACACATTGTCACATAAGCATGCATGCATACATACATACATACGTACATACATACATATACATACATACACATACATACATATACATACGTACATACATACATACAGGAATTCCTTCATTCATACATTCATGTACATATATGCAAACACATATAGTAGAAACCGAAAGTGAGAACCCCAATGGCCTCAACCCTTAAGGGTAATGAATTGGGAATCCCAGCACCGGTTGGCCTTCATCCGGTTTCCAACTTTTTAGAGTTTACTCTATGTTTCCGTCATGTTGTGTTATTTCATATAATTACATGATTCGTACATAAACAATGTTGACAACTAAATAGCTAAATTTATGCATGTGGTGTGTAGGGTGTGATCTGTATGCATGATATGCATACACATATACATACATACGTACATACAGACACATGAGCGAACACACCTGTACCATGTATGTATTTACGCACCAAAAGCACACACGCATACTTGAACTCTCGCGGTGATAACCGAACGGATACAACAAGTCCTTTCAATCCGCTTAAACAAGACTGAAAGTGCCGACTCTGAACCACCTGACGCAGGACAGGTCTCTGAGCCATGACCCCGCACGCCAAAACTCCCTCGGACAAGAAGCGGCACAACATGGTCGCGGCAATCCGCGACAATGCTAAATCTAATCCGTGTATAGACCACGATACCCGACGAAGCTATTACAAGCTTATCGGCTCTTGACTGACGAGGCCCCTGCAGAAGCACGTGGCCTGGAGCCACGAAGCTTCCGCCGGAGCTTCGTCGAATGCAGCGCCGCTGCCGACAACTAGGAGAGAGCGACGACGGCCTGACTTTCATGGGCTCATGTGGGTTTCCGTCTAGGGCCTGGCCGCTTGGCCTCCAGGGTCGTAGGGTCGAGGGCTGCTGCAGTGTGCAAAGGTGCGCTCCGTAGGTTCCTCCAAACTATGCCACGAAAATTGAAAAAAAACAGGCTGCGAAAGGAAGTTATGCCAACAACGGCACATCAGGTGTTCAGTAGGTCCTTATTATTGCAGTACACGCGTTCTGTCCTGGACCCTCAGACCTTTGCGGTGTTGGTGGCTTCAAAGGTTTGGTGTCGGGCTTTGGAATGTCCACCCGCAGTCGTAAGCCAGCAACCCTGCACGACACTGGGGATCCCCCCTCTTCAAACCTGACAGTGTGGCCCTTGACACCTGAACCTTATGCAAGCTACCAGCTGTAGACTTCCATCATATAGGTGAGTGAGGACATGTTTAAAGTGCGAGTAAGACCCACGCCACTATAATCGACTAAAGCAGGCGAGGGATTGCTGCAAATATGCGCTCTGGAAAATGATTGGGAAGTCTGTGTACTATGCCGCAGGGTGCCTCAGCCCTATAATCTGGAGGTAGAAAAAAACGTCGGATCTCAAATTCAAAAACTCGACTCGCAACTGCCATGGTCTTCTTCCTGTGGACAGCTGAAAGAACACCGAAACTTGCCTCGACTGCAACCCGCGACCATTACGTGATCAGGTGCTGGGCCCATGTAGAGGGGGCATGCGTTAGAGTCAATGCCGCTACTATCGTTGAAGAGCCCTGTCTCACCACTTGCTGAAACAACTTCCAGAGCCCATCTAGATTTCGGCCCCAAGCTTTGTGGGCTTCTCCTGGCCAAGTGTCCATCAACCTCACCACAGCAGAAAGCACCCACTTGGCGAGCGCCGACAACGTTCGTTGCACGCAAATCCCCGTAGCTGAGGGTCCAATTCCTGAGGCGGATCTACACTGTGCAAAAATCAGTAAAACATCACGGTTTTACGGGCACAGAAACGGGGTGGCTTCCTGGACAACGACATGGCTTGTCAGAGGCAGTGACAGCAGTAGCGCCACCAGAAGTAGAAACAGTAGTAGTAGTAGTAGTAGTAGTAGTAGTAGTAGTAGTAGTAGTAGTAGTAGTAGTAGTAGTAGTAGTAGTAGTAGTAGTAGTAGTAGTAGTAGTAGTACTAGTAGTAGTCGTAGTAGTAGTAGTAGTAGTAGTGGTAGTAGTAGTAGTAGTAGTAGTAGTAGTAGTAGCAATAGTAGCAATAGTAGTAGTAGTAGTAGTAGTAGTAGTAGTAGTAGTAGTAGTAGTGGTAGTGGTAGTAGTAGTAGTAGTAGTAGTAGTAGTAGTAGTAGTAGCAAAAGTAGTAGCAGCAGCAGTGGTCGTAGCCGCAGTAGTAGCAGCAGCATCAGCCGCAGCCGCAGCCGCAGCGGCGGCCGCAGCCGCAGCCGCAGCCGCAGCCGCAAGCGCAGCCGCAGTAGCAGCAGCAGAAGTAGAAGCAGAAGTAGGAGGAGGAAGAGGAGCGGGAGGAGGAGGAGAAGTGTAGTAGTCGCAGAAGAAGTAGTAGTAGTAGTAGTAGTAGTAGTAGTAGTAGTAGTAGTAGTAGTAGTGGTAGTAGTAGTAGTAGTAGTAGTAGTAGTAGTAGTAGTAGTAGTAGTAGTAGTAGTAATAGCAGTAGTAGTAGTAGTAGTAGTAGTAGTAGTAGTAGTAGTAGTAGTAGTAGTAGTAGTAGTAGTAGTTGCAGAAGTAGTGGTAGTAGTAGTAGTAGTAGTAGTAGTAGTAGTAGTAGTTGCAGGAGTAGTGGTAGTAGTAGAAGTAGTAGTAGTAGTAGTAGTAGTAGCAGTAGTTGCAGGAGTAGTGGTAGTAGTAGTAGTGGTAGTAGTAGTACTACTACTACTACTACTAGTGGCGGATCAGCAGCAAGGGAAGACGTTCATGAAACACCAAATGACACTTCGAGACTGCGGACAGCACACTCGTACTGCTGGAAAGTCTGGTGTGAATGGTAGGTCGTGCTGAAAGTGCCATTGCTCGCACTCCGGTCACACGGTTGGAAGCAACAAAATCATATCGACAGCAACTGCAAGTAGGACACAATAAGTGTGAATACCAGACAGCCAGAGCAACGGTTACATTGTTGTCCATCCAGGCGGCACGATAGCCGCGCAGTGGATGACGGCGTCGCAGTCCCACATGGACTCGAAGGTCTCACGGTCCATGCCTGGAAAGCACATTGCGAGTCCCAAACCGAAGGCAGGCTGCAACCCCAACCAATCTGCAACAGCACCGTTCTGCCTTGTCCTCTCATCGTCTGCGGAGACAAATCCTGAATCCCGAGCTTTAACCATACAAGTCAACCAAACCAGTGCTTGTTGGTGCTACCGTCGTCTTTCCTATAAGCTTCCTTTCGATGGGCTACTTGTATACAATGTACGCCAAGGAAGACAACCAGCACAGGCCAACTACTATTTGACGATTCCAAAGACGAGCAAGATACATCTTTAAGGTGATTACGATGCTGATGAAGAATGTAATGGCTCATGCGACACCTGGTCAGCATCATCTAAATGTGTGCAAGTGCGTATGCCCAGCTTTGTAGTCGATCTACACAGCGAATCGGTAGAAACTGATGCCAGCATCTGGATGCGGGGCCTCTGACACAGATCCTGATTTCCACAAGACAGGATGCTCATTCCAAGTCTGAAGCAGTGCAAAATTATGAAGGGTGACTCCCACAGGATCGATGGGCAGACCCGTTTCAAGTGAATGCCAGCCATGTACAGACTGCAGTGTTTTCAATTGAAAACTCTGACACTCGAAGCCCCAAGGTTGGACAGTACTTGGATATACGTACGACCTCGGACGGGTCGGAGACATGAAGCCTTCACAAAGTGCCTATAGCAACTAAAGACTACGAAGCCGTCAGAACCTGGACCCGCAGTGCCGATCAGGGGTTTCAGCTCTGGAATTCTATGCAGCGGCGAAAGCCCAGGGTCGGGGTGGAGGTTGAGTTTTGCGGTGGGGGCGTTGGGGGCAGGGTGGGTGGAGGGGGGCTTAGTTTTCGGGTTTTCGGGGCTTCGCTGTTGCCTGAGAAGCTCATAAGCTCTTGCCGTTCCAAGCTGCCGAACATGGGCTGGGCAACATCGTGGCCTCCCCGTGCATTGGGCTAGGATCCTCTTCTACAGGAGAATATGCTACAAGCCCTAATTGTAACGGTGTCTACAGGGCCTGGGGGATGAGGATCGAATTCGTGATTTTTTTTGGCCCTCAATGTCTGATTCCCAGCTCAAGCATCAGCTAGCAACAAATTTAAGCTAAGTCGTCCGGAAGCTTGAAACGGAAGCCCTGCAGGAAACGGAAGCCAAGAATCCCCAAGCCTTAATCGAACTAACCACCAGGTACCAGCGGGGCCCAGGCGAACCAGGGTCAAACCCGGATCCGTAAGAATCCTACATACAAAGATTTCGGTTTCAGGTGTCAGCCGACACGGCAAATTGACCCACATGTGGAATCGACCAGTGCTCTTTTGGTGTCTTATCTTGGCACCGCTTTAAGCTGCGAATGGGGGCTAAGTTTATGATGCAGGGCTCATGTAAGAGTTCGGATATCTAGATGTTTCGGATTCCTCCCCCTATTTAGAGGGGTTTGGCTTCACACTGGCATACTGTAGGGATGCATAGGGCGCAGGCTGCGAAAGGGCTTCGAATTCAGACTTCATATGGTTTAGGCTTCCGAGGCTTATTGGCCTCCGCATACCCCCTTTCCGAGCAGAAGTCGTAAAGTTGGACCATGGAAACCGGACATCTGGTCTGGTGTTCGTTGTGTTCTAGGGATGGGATTGGGGTAAACCGGGGTTCCATCTTTCTTGCCTCTACTACAGAACCTGCAGCGTCCGCACCCCCCAGGACCAGCCTAGCGAGCGCGACAGAGGAACAGCAGAGATTCCTCGCGCTCGAAGGATCTCCATGAAGTGGCGCCCGAGATGTCCTGGGACCCAAGCGGAACGTCCGGTTCTGCTTGGGTGTTTTAGGGGCTACAAGTAGGGGCCAAGGGTGGAGGTGTCAGGACCATGGTTCAGGCTATGAAGCTCACGCTTGCTCCTGGTTTACTAGCTACAGATCTTGTAGGTTTGCGGTTGCTGACCGTCAAAAAACCGACTGACGCTCAAACATGTCGTTTCAAGGTGTTGAAGTCCCAACACTACATCTTCCGGCACCAGGCTGTGGGAGGCTTCACCGCTCACCTTCAGGCTTACATTACCAATGTACCACGAAGGGTGCCGGTGGGAGACCTTCAAGTATACCACCTGTTCTTGTAGATGATGTTGGAGGGAAAATGTGACGTCGATTCCCGCTGTTGGGACCAACCAAGACAACGGACTGTAATTTCCAAATGTATTCATCTGGTATATGCTGCCTCGGACTCGACTTTTGCCGAAGATTCACTGAAAAATTCGGAAGACGAGCGCAGTCGACGAGCTAGCAACTTCAACCCTACAGTACACCCTCTGAGCCTAGACCCTACCTTATGCTGATATAGACGTTGGTGTTGTGCCGTCTGCCCCAAACTTTTCACACCATTATTGCCGAATCTTCAGAAAACCTTAAACCCAGAGCCTGCCACCCGTGGATTTCCACCGCGTTGTGAGCACTGCGCCTCAAACCAATCCTCCGATTCCGCAAGTCCCAAGCCCGAAAACCTTACCTGAAATTCGCAAGCTTCAGATCATGTTCTCGCCCCGCTGCCACTATAGAATGCTGGTGAACTGTACACTCAAACGCACAATTCCCTATGAACGGCGAGACCCTGCTAACCTCTTGAAGGCCCTAGAAAGTGAAATCATACTCTCTCAACAGTGAATTGAAGTCGTGGAAAGTATGGGCATCACCTAACCTTCAAGCACGAAACTCTGCTCTGAAGCTAGATCCCAAGCCCACAGCTCCCTTCCCAGCTTGAGATCGAATGCCAAAGTCTAAAACGCTCAAAGAAGAAGAGCCAAACTTTGTTCTTTCGGGTTGCCTGTCGCTCCGGTAACGAGGATCTTCCTCCAGGTCCCTGAGACTGGGGAGGCAGAAGCACTGCAGCTGGAGCCTGGACACAGTGGAAGCGTTTCACAGATTCGAGGCGGGGGGCAGAACGTAAGACTTTCAGATTAGGGTATAGTTGAGGGTCTGTAGGTCTTAGGTTCAGGGCACTTCAGGATCCAATGGGGACCAAGCGGACCTCGGGACTGTTCACTAGGTATCCCCTTACAGTTCGTCGGACATGAACCAACCTTTCAGTTCGAACATGCTTACAAACTCTATGCTTAGATAGCCTGAGCATGTAGACGAAAGAAATCTAGAGATCTATTTTGATGTCTGAATTGCACGTCATGAAAGTCTGCCTCATCCTCCCTTAAGAGTTCCTGGCCAAGCACCCAGTGCATGCAGGACGCGAGTGAGGACGAGCTGTTGCAGGCAAGCAGCTAAATCTCGCAACATCTGCGAGCGCTGCCGACACACCCAGTTTATCCGTCTGGGAGAGTGCCTCCCAGCAGCAAGTCAAGGGAGGCTGAATCCAAACGGTCGTGCGATACGACGCCTTGAGGTCTCTCAGTGTTCCCGCAGCTGCCACGGCATGGACTGGAACACCAAGGTCTGCGGCCTTGCCAGGAGAGGACCGGAAGATGACTTCGCTCCATGCTTGAACCCAACATCCCCAAACGCCCCAGAAGTCGAACTTGCTAGAAAGCTCGGGGCCGTTGCTCGCATCCATATTCGGAGCTTACTATCTGTAGACACGCTATACGACACTCTGAGATTCAAAGCTCGTAGGTGGTCGGAACATTCTGACTTTCGCAGCGAAGGTGCATAACCTTGGTAACGTGATCAATACTGTTACGCTAATGTCGTTTACAATGAGCATGACAGGGTTTTACACGGTAACTTCCATAAGAACTCAGTGTCCTGACTTCCCACGGCCAAACTGCATAGGGAGCGCTAAGTACGCACTAATCATCCGGCCTTCCAGTTTTGGTAAACTCGATGGGACTTGCTGCAGTACTTGCTATGCAAAGGCAAAGGTACCGCAGGCGGTCGATGCTTTCACTGAGATTGATACGACAATTGGACGGCTCGTGAACCTGATTCCTGAGCCCTCCACCAGCCGAGCGAAGTGCACCGATGTGACACCCAGCTCCTTCAGCCTCCCAATACTCTGCTTCTTAACGCGCCGAGGATAAAGCCCTAAACAGCATTGAAATTCCAGAATTCCAGGGACGAGTTCTCCAGCATTACCGTCCGGCATACTTAGCAGGAACCTTGGACATGATGGGATGGCGCTTCAAAGGATGCGGTCGCAGTCATCGGTTGCAAGACTCGTTCCAAAGACAATTTCAGACATCAAATGAAAGCAGCAAAACCGAAAACCCTGAAGTCCGAACATGGAATGCATCGGCTGGAATCCGGAACCCTCCAGCAGTCTGACAAGCCAGTCACCCTGGCCTCTGAACCCTTCTCGACATTGCATCCGAGAAGCGGCTGCGTCTCGTCCACGTCCGCTGTACTCCCGGTGACGGCATGCAACCACCGGCTGAGAGCAAGCTGCTTCTCATTGATCTGCTGTAACCTGAGGCGAGGTCAAGCACAGGACAAGTCATGGGATCCAGTTTCAAGTTTAGGTATGAAAACACGACTACCTCTGGCGTAGATTTCCCAGCAGTTGTAAGTGCCGGCGCTCCATTTCGTGCTGCATCATTCAAACTTGCTCAGACTTTCAGGCTTTTGAGAAGGTGAAGGAGATCTGCGAGACGTTTCTGAGATTCCCGTTGTCATACAGGTCGTAAAGACTCGGGTGGTCCGAATGCTGGGCAGCGGTTGCGAGGAATTCCTAGGCCAAACAAAATACCCGAAACAACAATCCTAAACCCCAAACTCTGACGCTACAAACAAAACCTCATCAAATAAAAAACGGGTCCATGTCAAGCCGAAGTGGCAGCTCCTGTTCATACATGGCCCGGATAGCAGGGCGTCGAAGCTTCAAGGATGGTGTCAAGAGGCCATTCCTCAAGAGATGATGACGTCAGTCGTAGCCTATGAACATCTACAGAAAAACCGACATGTTGTGCTACCTTTTGTGGCGGTTTGCTTTCATGTTTGGCATAGTTGGGTTTGGCATTTCGGGCTTCAATGGCGTCAGGCAAGATGGTTCTGGGTGGCAAGTACAAGCACCGAAACGCACTTCTTCCTAAGCAGGAGCTATGGCGGATATCAACATGTATTGACCTTGTAGCAAAAACGTTCCCATCACAAAGCCCGAGCCTAGATTCTCCACAGTAAACTTCTCTTTCGCGCGCACGCAGGGCACAGATGTGGAAGCTGCTGCAGAAGGATTCTGATCCCAACGAGCGGAGTAAACAACGGCAGCCAGCGCACCGGAGATCTCAACAGTACAGACCTGCTCAAAGTCAGAGGTTTGGGACAGTTCGTCTTCCACAGCTTCCAGAGATTCGAACTTGCCATTGGCGAGCTTGACCCAGTTGGTCAGGCGTCCCACCACCTTCAACATGCCGTGCCGCATCTCGCCGATGTCACCTGGAAGCCATGCCGACACCCCGATGAAGATTCGATGTTCGTTCCATCCTCCACTCTACGGATGTTTATGCTGCTTTGCCTGGTGCCCTCAGCTTCTAAGTTTGATCCCTGAGCTATGGCAGCTATGGGCTATGGCCCTTCGATACTGGGTTGAAGATGCCAGTCCGGATGCCTTTGAGGGCCTTTCAAAAACACGTATGAGTACAACAACAGCCTTCGGAAAGCCACAATGGTATGATGCAACACGCACCGGGTCCCGGCAGACCTGTCCGGTAGAAGCCGTCGTCCGTCAAGGCACCAGCCGTTTGTGCAGCGTCATAGTAGCCCTGACTTGCTGCACCAACTAGCTTCTCGGTAATATGAAACCATCAACGACTAGTACAACAGCTGAGGCCGCTTCGATTCAGAATCTACACCCCATGTGCCACACGTGAAGTCTCAGTCGGCTCAAGCTTGCAACGTCTGAACAGCATCTCATTCTGGTTTGCAAACCCCGTTGCACCAGACACCTGGCCCCCCATGCAAACTGCGTCTGAACGACCCGACAGACATATACAGAAAAATATATATATATATATATGTATATATATATGAGTGCGGACACAGAGCGGCTTCAACATTAAGCTCAACTCTTTTCAACATGGTATCCTATACTGGGAACTCATTAAGTCCACCTCGGCAAGTTGGAATCCCGAAGCAGAACTTCCTGAGACCCTGCGATACGGAGATCAGGCATCTGACTGTTCAGGCGGCTGGATTCATTCTCTGATCGCAGCATTAGCCTAACCCCATGCTTCCGATCCACCCACTCAGAGCTTGGCGGATTCGGGAGAAGCTGGGCACTCTACAAACCCTGAAGGCCTTCAAGCTCTGAACTGTACATTCTACATCGCAGACCTCAGCCATCTGTGTAATCCTGTACAGACTACGTAGCAGCTGAACTGCAAAGCTGATACGGAAGCGACGAACCCTGCAACCAGAATATCGACGCTGATGAGTGCGATTTTAGATTTGGGAAGTATGTTGCAGCAGTAGTCACCGTAGCAGTACAAGCGATTCCGAAGGGTACGAGTACTGTGCCGTCCTCAGTCTGGCTCAACCAACAGTCGGCAGTCCTCCGCTTTATAAAATTCATCTCCCCAGCTTAAACCCACACCCTGCATAGAGCCCGTCCTCGAAAGCGCCCTCAGCCTTTACGCAAATTTCACCCCTCGGGGCGTAGATGCCAAGCTCTGGCACCTGTTTGTGAGGTATGGTTTGCGGTCTAGTTCGGCAGGGAGGTCTCTGGTTGTTCGATCTTCGCGGGTTCACACACACGGATTGATGCTGCTGGCCTAGAGACCTCTAATCAGAGTTGTCGGTGCAGTGCCTCTCAGGTTTTCGTAGCATGGAACAGTAATGATGGGCATTCCTAGACCTCCATTGTATCGGAGTGTTCATATTGCTTCAGCGCTCTTGTCCTAGAGCTACAGCCGCAAGATGTGTAAACTGTTGACCTGGTGATGTGCTGCTAAGATCATGCAGACGAATGGTGCTATGGGCCGAAAGCAGTCCTAGCCTCCACGAGCTTCGTGTCTTCGTCCGAGATCTTGCCGTTCACAGATATGCTGCCCACCTCTGAAGGGACAGGGGCCCCAGCCGCCTCAAAATAAATTCGACACATGTGGCAGTTGTTGGTCGACTTGCAAGCGTGCAGAGAAAGTTCGACCTTCCCCATGGCCAGAGACAGACTCTACTACTCTATGCAAACACAAACACGCAACATAGGCCTGGATGTATGTATGACTCGGATAGTATCCATGCGACATGTCTGCGTGACAAAGGTAAACCACGACAGATGCCTCGGTGGCGCCATAGTTGTCCATGACAAGGATCTCATCTCCAAAGGTCCTATACTGTTCCAGGTCACCCTAGCTCCGAAGTGCTTGGGTTAAGGCCCGTCGGGGCCAGCGTTGTACTGATTCATTCGTCCGGAAACCTGCGGCCTCAACATTCCACGATGCTGCACAAATCTGAAGAATCCTGGCTGTTAATCCTGTACCTGGGTAATGGTAGAATCATGGATTTCCAACACAAACACACCATCAACATGTACCCGCTCAGCCTCAACCTGCATCCCGCGGACTGACATTTTGGACTCGAGACGAAGGCGGGCCTTGACACATGCACACACACACACACAAAGAGAGACGCAAAGACCATAGCACTCGCTACGAGAAGCGCCGTCAACAGTCTCATCATTCCGGAGAGGCTTCTTCCAAGCGAGCAGAAAAAGCGCCCAGCACGCATGCAACGCAAATGCCAGATTGAAGAGCCGAACAGTCTCCCCCACTTTGCGGAAAATCTCAGAGTCGAGCTGTCTTTGAATCGAAGTACTTGCAATTATACAGGACTACGGCGAAAAGAACGTAAAGGCTGAGCCACGGCCCCGCAAAACTCCCCAGGGCCCCGAGTCCTCCTGAGGAAGTCGAGGAGGTCGGGATCCGAGTTGGCAAAGCCCGTTGCTACAGTCTCGAGGCGGCGGACCAATCCCGGAAACCTTGGTCTTGTCACCAATTTGTCGGAAAGGGGCGGCTGCTGGTCTCGGATTCGTGTAGGTCTAGACTCAACTCCGGCTTGAGGAAAACCTTCAGATCTGTACAGCTACAGTTTCTTCATGGGCTTTCGGGTTCTGTGTGTTGAGCTTGCATAGTACAAGGAGCAAAGCACTCTCAAGGGTGGCATTTTGGCGATGCCGAGCAGGATGTATGTATGGCTGGGGTATCCAGATAGTCTTAAATCTGGCTGGGCCTTACACCATCAAGCCTTGGCACACCCAGGCACCTACAACCCTGAACCTACGGCAGACTTACAGAAGACACAGTCAAAACAAGCCAACGGCATCTGCTGGACCCTTTGATTCAAGTGAAGTCATGCTAAAGCCCGGCATCTTCTAGACCTGGATAAGGAGATACCAGCAGGAGGAAAACCCGTCGGCAGACGAGAGAAGCACTAAAGCCAACAGAGAAACCTAATGCAGGCCTCTTCCCAAGTCATAGTCAGCGCGAGAACCAGAGAGCGAGAATTAAGGGACCACGACAAGGCTTCTGAAACGCGAGGATCATCTGAACAGAAGCCAAAGGTTCTTTCTCCGAAGCTCAGAAGGGGCCTGTGCAACTCAAAGTTCGAAGTCGTTTGCGATATGTGCCTCCGAGCCCTGGCAGCTAGCAGCCCAAACCCAACAAAAAAGCAAGCAACCTGAAGGCCTGTAACCCTAACCTGACAATCCTCTCTCCAAAGTACAGCTGTCGCAGGCTGCTGGGATCCTCCACGCCATCCAGCGCGAAACGTCGACGGAGTTCGGACCAAACACTCGGGGGTGCACTGATCCTCGGATGGAGTATCTACGTAAACACACACACACACACACACACGGAGTGCATGGATGTATGAACATGTATATATATATATATACACATGCGTATATGTATGTGTATATATCTATATATATGTGTATGTGAATATGTGAATATGTGAATATGTGAATATGTGAATATGTGAATATGTGAATATGTGAATACGTGAATATGTGAATATGTGAATAGGTGAATAGGTGAATGTGTGAATGTGTGAATATGTGAATATGTGTATATGTGTATATGTGTATATGTATATATGTATATATGTATATACGTATATATGTATATATATGTATATATGTATATGTATATGTTTACGTATGTGTGTATACATATATAAGCACATACATATAGAACTATATATATATATATATATACACACCCATAGACAGACACCTGTGAACGCATCAAAACGCGTTCTTTTCGTATCTTGTCTTGCCCCATCCCGCCCTTGTCTTGTACTGTGGTGCTGTGCGTGGCTGCGAAATTGGTTCGAGGGATGGCGAGGCAAAGCTTGTCAAGCTATGAAAGGTCCGTCTAAGGATGGCTCTGGCGATTCATGATCTGGTTCTGCAACAAGTTCCCTGCTGTGGGGTTGACACCGTCGTCGTGGTTTCCGAAATTTTACTGCACAGGCACAGTGCTGAAATGTTAAATCCTGAATAATGTAGAAGCCCCATGCAGTCCAAGCGCTCTGTAGGTGAAAGGGCGAGCCAGGAGCAAAGCAAAGGAAGCCCGGCGGCAGCAAATGCTGTCTGACCACCACCTCGACTGTCTTCAAAGGTTTAGGAGTTGTGACAGTTGAGGACATAGTTGTGAGTCTTCGCTTCGGACCTGGGATATCGGAGGGTTGAGAGACTGGCACCTACAGAGCCCGACTTTGGGAGGTTGGATGGGGGGATTTGACTCTTACAGCAATCCTAGGCAACACATCCGAGCCGGCGACGCCTGTCTTAAATCGCTCTTGGGGCTAGCACACTCACAACACACTTACAATCGGGCCAATACAGTACATGCCGCAGTCACTTTCTGAAGGTACTATGATTCGGAAGCCCCTTAACGGGCCCTTTACGTAGAACTGCCTTAGTTATTAAGCACATCGGGGCACAAACCAGGTTCCACCACAGCTCCGTCCGAGGTCCAGAGTGTGCCAGCGAGGCGTAACTCAGCGTAACACCTGTGGCCAAGCTTTGACGGCGTAGAACTAGCAGGATTCCCGGCTTAGGCATGCAAGGCGAACCAAGAAGAAACGCTGAGAATTCAGCAGGTCCTGTTAATCCCGTCACCGACCAAAGCGAGAACACCATAAACATCCCCCCTACGGTTACTGAATTTGAGAATGTTCAATGTTCCCTTGGATCGCCGAGAAACACAGCTCGGAGCCGAACTGAGCAGTGTCCCGAACGGTCTCCAGCCACGTGGCTCGGGTGCGACGCACCAACCTTGTCCGACCAGGGCCCGGTACTTTTTGGGATTTAGGCTACGACCTCAGAATGGCAAAATGCGGAATGGCTTGAACAGGTCAGCCTGCGCCATCACAGGGCTTGAGGTTGTTTCCGGAGGGAGCTTCTGTGTCAATTACTCATCCTCCGTGTTATGGGTAAGGACTTGGAGTTCAACATTTGCATAGGTTAGGGCGAGGGCTCTGTAAACAGGAGAGCTATCCAGACATCTCGAATGAAACAACGCGACGAATAGCTCTCATGTCCCACTCATTACGAAGGCCAAGAAACTTGGGCGATGCTGTGGATCCAGAGGTCACGAAGAAAGTGAAAAGAACATCCTTGTCTAGCCCCATCCAAGCATCGTCATCAGACGCTATCGCGGCGTCGCTCTCTGGCTGTCTGTCAATGACAACGCACATGTCTTCCCCAAGAAGCTGCAACATATCCCGTCTTTGGTCAGGACCTGCTACAACAACAGAGCACATGCCCAGGAGTGCAGCGGCCAAGTCTGCAGCGACTAGCTCAACACAGCTGCAATCAAAGGAGATGACAGCGAAATGGTGTCGGCGGAGCCGTAGCAGAGAAACAAATTGGTAGACTATCTTCATAACTTCTGCAAAAGTCGCCCAGTGCCACTCCACTGCCTCTCCTTCCGCCCTGGGCAGGCCTATGCAAGGCCTGTCTGCGTAGGCCGTCAGAACAGATTGCACCAAACGGGCCAAGCTATCCTCGCAAATCTCTGCCACTGTCTCCCGGCAATCCTGGTCGTGACCATCAAGCTTGGGACCAGGGTCTCGTGAAGTAAAGTCCGCGCCGGACTGCACGTGTTGCGGGCTGGGAAGCATCATCGCTGCGCAGCATGACACCCGAGAACCCGTTCGGTGTGGAGTGGCAATGAATGTTAAGCTACAGCCTAGTGCTGAAAGCTGCAGCCATGTGCTCCACAGGGTGGCCTATGCAACTCCACAAACAAAGGCGGACCAACATGAACACAGGGTGTTCGCGACATCATGCTTATTCTTGTCATCTTTTTGTGCCTGTACTACAGCAACGGTATGCCCTCTCAACCCGCGACGGACATTGCACATTCTGCAAATTGAGCCTCGACGGCACAGGTGCAGAACAATACACACTTTACCTCAACCTTATGAAACTGCTTCGCTTCCTCCTACTACTATACTACTGCTACTGCTACGACGACGACGGGACTACTGCTGCTGCTACTACCACCACTACCCCTACCACTACCACTACCGCTACCGCTACCCCGACCACGACCACCACCACCACCGCCACGACCACGACCACCACGACTGCGACTACGACGACGACGACGACGACTACTACTACTACTCCTGCTGCTGCTACTACTACTACTACCCCTTCTCCTCGTCCAACTCCTACCACTACGACGACTACTACTACCACTACTCCTGCTCCTCTAGCCGCTACTGCTAGTACTATTGCTTCCCAAACCTGCTTGAGCTCGATCTCGCCAGTTAAAAATAGCGTGATGTCGACAACACCTGTCGCAGGCCGAGGCTAGAATCTGCTTGGGGTTGCAGGTCCGACATGCCTGAACACCGCTTTTATTGAACATCTCCATCTGATGTTCTCGCCCTTCATGAATTGCGACCCTCAACCCTGAAACCACCGTTCATATTCTCGATGCTGCTGCGGCTGCTGTCCATATTGCTGACACTGGTATATAATACTTGCGGTGCCTTCCCATTGTTGTCTTTCATGGTTACTATGTCCAGCCTTGCTCTTGTTGCGGCTGCCTCCGAATATGCTCTCTTTATTTTGTCTTTCCTGATCTTCAAGCAAAGAGTACTTCAGTTCTGCGAGTACTATCTAAACGGCGGAGGAAACCCAACGCTTGTGACGGTTGGCACAGCGATCGCTCGTGTTACAGTTGTCATTGTCGTTGTTTGGTGTACATTGTACATACTGAAGCTGCTTGCTGGTGCCGGTTCCACTTCAGCACTACTCATATATCCTCCTCGCCTGCCGCTGGACCTTCTGCGGCCGCCGAGAGCAGGTCGTAGAACCAGTCGAACTCTTCCTCTTCATGGCTTCGCAGCGGCATGTTCAAATGTTCAAGGCCCCTGCGAGTTCAGGGTGCATCTGCTTAGGATTTGGGCTCCCTGAATCGAATACTGCTGCTTGAGCCTCTACACCGTGAGTTGAGAACGTCGAGCGATGCCGGTATAGAGTGTAGGAGCGTTGCTGCATTGGTTGCCAGTCTAGGCTTAGTGTGCTTTGTGTGAGCGTGGATAGGCTTGAAACATGGGCTATCGGTGAATCAAAGGCTTGGTATCTTAGATGTATCGACAATGCTCCGTATTTTTCGGGCAAGTTGCACAGCTACTGAACTTGCCAGCTTTTGCGTGAATGGCACATGGAAGACAGAAGGTTAAGTTAATTACGCAGATCTCTCAGCTGGGAGATCGAAAAACATAATGATAATGTTGTGGTGATTACTGCAGTGAACGTCCTGGAGTCCTGTATAAGAACCCACCGTTTCAGAACCTGAGCCCCTACCTTCGGCGGGATTCACAAAATTCAGGCAGACAAAATTAAGAACCTTAGGATACCCTAAGGGGTCAGGTTCTTGTCTTATGTTGGGTGGAAGTGGGTTCATTGTGGCTGCGCTTGTTATGAAAACACCGGAAATAAGAACCGTAGGCAGGGGCAGGGTGCTATGATAAGACTCTTGATTCCTGCTGTCCTTGCTGTCTCCAGTTCCATAGAGCGGCTACCCGTGGTTGCTAATGTTCCTGGTTCATTACACCTGCTTGACCACAACCGGACTGACACTTGCTGAACTCGAAACCTCTAACCCCGAAGCCCGGAGCTACGTGATCTCGCTTGGATGCTAGATACGGACTTGGCAGCGAGAACAAGTGTCTGTGGTAACGGGTCCTGGCCACGGCAGATCCAGTAGAAATAGATCCTGGCGGCTCGTGTGTGATGCCGTGGGAATCAAAACCACCTGAAACTTGCCCCAAGCGATCCCGACCTAAGGAGAGAACTCCGCTGACATGCCCGGATACCTACTGCTGCACCCCCGGACTGTAGGACGGACAGCAAACCGTGGTGCTGTAATCCTGAATATTTCAGTAAGGTGCAGCTCATCTCGCTTTCAGCTTTGAGGCTGGCTCACCGCACGAGGCTTAACCAGTTGAAGGGGAGGTTTGGGATGGGCTGGGCATGGGGTTGGACTCAAGCTTGTGATTTCGATAGTTTGGAATGCGGATCCCGCTTCGCTCGTTGTCAAGAGCAGATTGGCAGGCTGATCTTCGTGATGCTGCTTCAGGCCTGAACTAGGCCGAATCCATGCAAACCCCAAACACTGCGGTTCTAGAGATGGAGAGCTACGAAGACAGCACGTACACCTGAAAGCCTGACATGTGCATGCCTCCTCAAGTCAATCGACTCCAAGAAAACAGAGTGCTGAAGCCACCGGGCCACTTTTTCGGAATCGGGATCAAACTTTCCACCATCCGGCTCGTTTCCTTTTCGCCTGGTGCAGGGCTCTCGGATCCCGGAGAGGTTGTAGGGTTTGTAGCGAAGGCTCTAGTAATAGGATTCCGAACCACCATGGCCCGAGACCTCAAGCCAAAGTTCTCGATTGGGTTCCATAGGGCTCCCGCAAGTGAGCTTGATTGAACGCATGTGACTGGCCACCATGACTGGCCATGAAGTTTCCATGACAGGGGGCATCACTTGTTGACGGCATCAGCGTGAACAGATGTGACATGAAGTGTGCAGCGGTTGGTCATAGCCTCAAGCTTCGGGCCTTAGTAAGTCTGAATCGCAGGTCGCGAATCTGAGTGTTTTCGACTGTCCTGGTTTCCCGGTTTAGTCTGTAGGACATGAGGGTTTCGGTCATGGAAATATGGGAGTCTATCCCAACTGCCTCAAAAGTTGGGATAAGTATGTGCAGCTCAGACGTGTCTGTCATGCATCGAGTATGGACAAATCTGTGAGAACACCCGAGCATCATGCCGAACAGCGCGATTTGAGTCTGTGCGTTTGCAGTCGAATCCAATCCGGCGCACAATTCCAAAACCCTCAATTCAAAATAATGGCCAGTGAAGTTGACAAGAGGTGTTTTTTTTGCTGCGTCCCTCCCTCTCTCCCTGCCCGCGTTTCTGCTCAATGAGCCTATGCCAGTGGAACAGGTCAGTTTCGCCGAAAAGCCCGGAAACGAGCCTGCTTTGATGAACTACTTTTGTTAACTCTTTATTACCTGAACCACTAATTCCGCGCTGCATATATACATAGAGAGAGAGAGAGAGAGAGAGAGAGAGAGAGAGAGAGAGAGAGAGAGAGAGAGAGAGAGAGTCTAAATATTAATTATCAGAGCCATCTAAAATCTGCAGTATACAAAACAGTCTAAATACTTGGTACCGTGTTCGTTCCCCAAACAGTGTGGTAACACATCGCTCAGATACGAAGGAGTTTTCGCGGTCTGTGTGGCGCGAGGCGCCCGCCGGATGCTCACCACAACGCTGCTCCCGCTGTGGTGCAGGTGCTTGGCCGCGTTCTCCGCAGAAGCGCGCTTCGTTGTATATTCCAACATGTTGCAATGGCCGTCGGCCGCATGTAGCCTTCGAAACGCTCGAAATCTCCAAAGCTCTGGCGGGGCCTTCCATTAAACCATTTCGTGCTCGTCCGTTCGGTCCCGAATCCCGCCAGTGCATGGAGGCAACGCTTGCGCGGGTCTTCTCAAAATGCCGGAAAATCCGCGAATCCCATCAGGGCGACTGTGATTATGATGGGCGCTTTGCTCTGCCGTATCCTTGTATGCCCACGGTCCCGTGCATTTCCGACGCCGAGAAACGCGCTCCCACTGAAGTGCGATGCGCACTTCCTCCACTAAGAATCGCAGTGCCGCGTACCTTCTGTGGGGTGAGATGGGTTGAGACTGCCTCTCTTTCCACAGCGACAAGACTTCCAAGTTTGCAGGGGCTCTTCGTGGTCTCCTGGTGGTGGTGGTGGTGGTGGTGGTGGTGGTGGTGGTGGTGGTGGTGGTGGTGGTGGTGGTGGTGGTGGTGGTGGTGGTGGTGGTGGTGGTGGTGGTGGTGGTCCTTGGTTATGCTCTTGGTCGTCTCTGTTGTCCGACTCGTATTGGTCTTGGTCGTCGCGGTGGTCCTGGTGGTTGTCGTGGTCATTGCGGCCACAGCGGTGGTGGTGGTCTTGGTGGTCGTCCTGCTCTTGTCCTCTCAGACATGGTGCATAGTCTTTTACCATCTGAGAATCTATGCTGAGGCTGGCATATCATGTTCAATGTGTTGTCCAGCCGTTCTGATGAGTACAACCACGCCAACCCAAAACGACGGAAAAGAGAGGGCCCACCTCGCCTGAGCCTCGCCCGCCTTGCGAAAAGCTTGCGCGCTTGGGGGCTTAGCGGCTACAGTACACCCTGGGCTGTCAATAGGTGGCTGGAGTTCATGCCAAGAGTTTAAACCAAAGAATGTGACCCTCCTGCATCTACTGCCGGTTCGACTAGCATTGTGCAGAGAGCTCTGGTCCAGAAGCGTTTAAAGCAGGCCGTTCTCTTATTATGTAAACTACATGTCTCTATGTATGCTTGATGGACTATCTTATTGCAGAGAGTATGACCAGTCCGTTATAGAACTCACTGAATGCCCATCTTCTGCGCCTACTCGGAGTCTATACTCGCAAGAACACCACGGTGCTGGAGACGATACTGTGTAGCAGGACGTCACTGCGAAGTGAGCTGGAGTGAATCTGGACGAGTGTCAATGTCTCTACAGCGAAGTGCGGCCATTGACATCTTAGAAATCTTATAAGAAGTATCCAAGCACTCTGAAAACCTACAAACCCCAAACCCTACCGGTGACTGTTCTTTTCGGCGGCGTTCTGGGGCTTCCGACCTCGGAGCAGCGTCTCGCGCTGTTTGGCACGGAGCTGCACCGATCGAAGAATGGAGGCAAAAGGCGTGACCTGGCGTTTGGGCTGTGAATCTTCATATGGGACGGCTTCAGATGAACACGCAATAACGCCCATCGGTAGAACAGGGTCTTCTGAGCAGGACTGTCTGACAAACACTTTGCAATGTATCAAGTTGCTTGCAGTGACCGTCCTCTCGTGGTGCTGTGCAACTTGACTATGACCGGATTGCCAACTGTGCTCCCGGTTTAGTACTCTGAGTTTAGCGTCTCGGCATCGGCAATTCAGGACATACCGCTACACCTACTTACACATGAACACGCGAGTTCACTCTCTTGCAACTTGAACAAGCTCAGCCCCATGCATACCACTGCGTGACGCCCTCCCGCAACCAACAACTGAGCGAATTGAACACTCCAACCTCAGGCATGAAGATCTGAGTGTTGCCGCAGACATCAACATCGTCTTGATGATCACCATCAGCACCATGACCCCGATAATCCTCATCATCCTCCCTAACACCATGATCTCCATGGTCATTGCCGCCTCTCCATCATCAACCGGACTCGGACCTCCGTCGACATGCTACAAGTATGATTGCTGATTCGACTGTTCAGTCCCTTCGGTACTCCAAATCCTTCAGCCATGTTGACGACGTTTGCAAGCCGGAACGAAGAAGTACCAGCACATCGCCGAGTTGCGCCGATGCCGGCGCCCACTGCCATCAGTGTGTCGAAACCCCAGACCTGTGATGCTACGGGCGTTTTGCTTCGAGGTTAAAAAATGGGATCTTCACAAAAGACAGCTACCCACCGAGGCTCATGTCCCGGACTGCCGAAGTTTAGCCAGGAGATGCTCAGAATACATGTATGCTTGTCTCTCCTCCGCCTGTCGAGGCCTTGCAAATACTTTCGAAAGGACAAGAATGTGCCTCAACTTACTGATGCAGCCGAAATGTCCAGACTGTAGCAAATTCCCCTCAACCCTCAGCGGCCCGTCTTCAGGAGCTTTCGTGAACTAGATCGCACGGAACTCAAGGATTGGTGGCAAACTTCGGAGCCATGGATACGGGCTGAGGATTGGAAGTTAGGGGTTGGCGGTAAGCGGAGCGCATCATGCCGGTCCGGCTTCAGATGCAGCACTGTTTAGCTTCGTTGAGCTGATTCGGTTGGTCAAGTCGGATTTTGAATCCAGGGTAGTCGGGTTGAGGGTAAAGGTCGCGGTCGGGACTGGCTAGTCGCATGGGCTTCGGGATGGCTGCGATGGTTCATGGAGTACTAGGCTGGGGTTCCGGAGTCTAGCGGAGGCTTGGGTGAAGCTTTGAACTTGTGTAGGTTCTAGATTTGCGGCTTGCGGTATCATGGGTTTGGGTCGCCTGTCTCCCCCTTCTGCTTGTCAGGACGTGTCGATGCCTGACCATTCCCACGGGCTAGACAAGTGAAGCCTGAGTCCAAAGTCTGCAAAACCTTAAGAGGAAGCCCAGTTCCGATACCTTGGACAGCAAAGCCCTCAAGCCAAAGCTACTGAAGCAAACCATTTCATGTGGGCCGTGGTGCTTTCTGTGCAGGAGCACCAAAGGGTCCAGTAACTTGGAGCATGACGGCCTGTCTGCTTCGAAAGAACTCTCTGGCAGTCGAGCTTGGTGTTAGCTCATGACTGTCTGCGTACATTTGGAGCGCTCGGGTGTTTGGGCTTTGGAAACAGTGCTTCGAATTTTTCAAGACATGTGCGAAGGGGAGACAGAACCGGAAAATGCAAGCGCTTTGCGGTCCATCTAGCTTTGGAGTTCGGGCCTATCAACACGAAAACCTCATCTCAAACAGCTCAAGCCGAAGGCTTCCCGAAGGCGCTAGGAAACTCTCCCTGGGCTGACTCAAATCATGAGACCCCTATTCCTGCTCCCCAAACAGAAATCAAACACACAAACGCTATGCCACTACGGTGACGGAGCGGCCTCAGGAGGGAGCAAGCCGGCGGGGGGATTGCCTCCCAGGACCAGTCACTTGGAATGGAGGCATCAAGGATTGAGCTTCGCAGCAATAGACGGCCAAGGGAGTCGAGACTAGGTGCAGCTTGGACCAGCTGTTGAGTGCTTTTTAGAGAACCAGGCCGACTATAAGCTGTTGGCATGCCTCACAGACTGCTGGTTCCAGGGCAAGGAGGAGCTCCGAGGGTAAATGCAGAACAAAAGGAACCGACAAAGCCGAAGGAAGTTA